ACGTAACGACTGAAGATGTATTTTATGTATTCATTAATTAAATATGCTTAGGCTCGGAATTGAAAGTAATGCAATACCCAGCCCTGAAAACCAAAATAAATTATAAATAGGGCACTTACTAAATTGGACTGAAATAAATGTGACTCCTGTCTGAAATATGAAAGAGACTGTACCTGAATCAAGGAAGTACTCAATACATTACATACATAAATCCACGGAAACCTACAAAGAATCTAAAGAAAAAGTGCACAAAATATCTTACATACGAAATTTATTATTGCTATCTACTACTATTTTATCCTACTTGAGAATAGCACTAATGAATAGAAGTAAAAAATTGAAACAAAATTTCGACCAGAAATAAGAAAAGAAGTTTTAAATACTCAAGAAAAGACTTGTCTGCTATTGAAAGGGGAAGGATTTTCGACTGGAAGTAGACTGTTGAGTACACAACTTTAGACATGTAATATGTTTTTTTTGATCAGAGGAATAAGACTCAACTTTTATATGATGAAAATACAAAAACAAATACTTAAAAGTTTTCACTTAATTGACAGAAATGTAATTGTCTCTAGTTCCATTAGGTCTCAATAGCTTAGAAAATAATTATTTCCTACAGATTTTACATACCTATTCTATAAAAAAAGTTTTCATCAATAGTCTGAACCAAAAATATGACGTACAATAAGAAATAAAGAAACTTTAAAATAACAATCTACAAATATATGACAAAGAGAAAAATATGGATTTATTTAAATTAATTCATCAATCATCTGTCACATACTAGTTGGAGAAATGTAAACGAATTTGTCGAACCTTCGTCATCCACGATGGGACATGGTGATTACACCTTACATTTGACAAAAAATATCCTTATGATTCATATAACGGAAGAGAAATATGTATTTCTTATCTGCGCTGAAAATAATATTTATTGTATTATAATTTTAAATAAAGTAGTATATAATAAATTTGACATTCAGATGCCTTTTAAAATCTAAGAACAATGTTTTTTTTTAAATCACTGATCAAAACGCACACGCACTTCAATAAATGGTCAGCTGAGGCAAGTAGTGCTGAAAGCATACCCCTATATTACTTTAATACCTGGGTGTAATATGACGTGCGTTAGATACACGAAAAGCTTAGACGATGTAACTTGCTTTCACATTTCCGAAATTTAGTTAATAAAATATCTTATATAAAGAGACTGAGGCCTACGTGGATTTTATTATTTAAAAATTGTATATATGGCAATAGTAACAGTAATATTTCGAAGTCGTTTTCTAATGTTTCTTGATTTCTTCAAACTGAGAAGTTTGTCTAACATTCTTCGTATATCATAAAAGGGACAAATATTTGTAATCCATCATCTTATGAAATTATATTGAATACTCTGTTTATTCGTAATATATAAAGGAAATATAGTTAGAATATATTTTTCAAGTTTCATTAAATACTTGTATAATTTGAGCTGATTGAGTTTAATTTGATTCTACTGTTTAAATACTCAAATACGAAAATTATGATTATTTTATTATATACATATTATTATACTATATAACTATACGTTATTTTATTATTTTAAAACGGCAAACAGAATATGTGAATTTTTATTTTTCTTTTTAACAATAATAAAAAATTAAAGTGGTTATATGACAATATTAGTTTTATTTAAATGAATATTCGGAAAGTCTTGGATCTAATTATAATTACTATTAATGGAACAAAAACATAATTAAAAGTAATACTTGTAATGATGACCATTAAAGAGCACTTAACACGTTTTTTCTAAAACAAATTGAAGAAAATACTTGAAAATAAAACAGGATTCACTTCAATAGACATTCAATTCAAATGACATCGAAGGAATCGTAAATCCAAAGTTATCTGTCGGGAAGCAAAAGAATCGGTGATCAATCTTAGGAGCCCATAACTGTTGTTAAGGCTGACCCGCACTGAGGAATGTGGGTCACGAAACAAAAAGGGGATCTCAAGTAATCTGCTATAGATGTTCCCTGATGTGGACGATAATATATAAATAATAGTTTTATTACTTTCATGGTTCAGTGAGAACTAATAACTCATAAAGTTACAGTCCCACGTATTTCCTGACATTACTGTTTCTATTTAATATGTTCCGATGTGGTAATTTTCCACTCATTCGCTCCCATCCGATGACACAAAATGTAATAATGACGCCGATGAAATCCAATAAAGCGATACAGTAAATAGTGAAGTAATACAGGGAACCAATCAAAAAGAGGATGAGGGACAGAGGGCAAAGGGCTCACTAATAAATAAATATATGAATGTTGTTAGCTTAGGGCTCATCGCTTCCAACCATGGAAAGCATTTATTGAATCATCTTTGGTTATTTCAACATATAGCGTAAGTTTATAATTTCATACTTTTGATACTTTAACAAAAACAGCTAAGGATAAAACTGCATTTCAATAAGTTATACTAGCGTTATAAATGCAAATAACATTTCCAACCAAAATGAACTCCACTTCAGGAGTCCGATCCAAATATAACTTTAAATGAATTATGAATATAGAGATGCGTTGATGTATAGTGGGGTATTATATTCATATCTTTAAGGTCCAAGGTTCAAGGGACCACAGACTTTACGTTTCTTTTGACAAACAAAACATTTAGTAGGTTGGTATTAAACGTATACGTCATATCTGCTCGTTTATACCGACAGTCCATTCTTAGGTACCAGGTGAGTCCAGGTGTTATAGGTAAGTAAAAATTGTACACACTTTACTTATAGGCTGAGTTCTGATTTTTACGTATGTTGTAGGATATATCGTAAATAACTTCAAAGAACTACTTCTAGACACCTTCTATTGACAGAATTTTTTGACACAGACCTTAAATATTGATAGTTAAATCACAATTAATTATTATATTATTTGCATTATTCTGCAATCATATGTACAATTAGATGACAATAAATAATTAAATTATTTAAAGCGTTCATTGTACAAATTACGAGATAATTTAAATGAAACATTATTCAAATTATCATGCATAGGCTCTTACTAACAACGACACTTTAAATACTTTTGAGTGATATTTGGCACTCTGGGATTGGTCTGGCAACTTATGAGATACATTTAAATAGACTCCAAAATAGTAGGTACATTTGAAAATCAAATGTCAGACTGCAAGATTGTGTTTTTTGCTGTAGATATTTGAAGTGTCTGGCAAAAAATTGTGCTGACAGTAAGTGTCTAGCTGTATTCATTTGAAATTGTTTACAATATACAATGTACATAAAAATCAGACATCAGACTACACGTAAAGTGAGTACAATGTTTACTTACCTTAGAAGCTAGTATATGAGAATTGGCTGTCGGTGTAAGCTGGCAGATATGTTTAGGTTTACTGTACACACTAATATATGTTTTGTAAATCAGGAAATAAGTAAGATATGGGGGCCCTAGGATCTGGGACTATCACCATACAAAAATAAATAATTATTATACTTCATTGAATCATAAATACATAGAATTCTCTTATCTAGTATAGTATACATTAATTAAATCTGGGCATATTGCTATATGATTTAGGGTTTTAATTGTCCAAAGAATTGTTCCAGTTCCTAGCGAACTACAATTTTTTTTACATAATACTCTGTAATATTTTGACTGAATAGTTGTATTTTTTGTGGTTTTTAAATTATTATATTTCCTTACTATACATCTTGACACATATATATATTGATCACCGTATGTACATATATGTACATCAAAACAGTATTGAAGTAAAATTTTTCGTTTGTATCAATTATATTTTTTGTTATTTAAATAAATTTCAATTCAAATTTAAAACAATGGAAATACACAATGATCATTTTTATGATCCACACGTCCGTTAGATCGTAACATTACAATAAAAATATGATTGTAAAATTTATTATGAAACTGTATTTATACTTAAGTATCTGTAAAGAAGCTCATCAATAAAATTTAATTGCGTTGTTACAAGTTCTGTAAAGTTGTAGTCGGCTATCAGCTTGTAAAAATATATTTTATGATCTACTGGAATGTATAATATATCTTTCATTGGAGCGCGGGTTTAGATCTCAGCCCAGCTCGTAAAATTACACCATATTTACATTATTATGAACGTGCTTTTTTCGTAATAAGCAGAATACAAACGTAACTTTTTAAATTACGTGGAAGGGAATGGGATATACAATCTTTACTTATAATAACTAATAACATATTGTATAATTCCAGAATTAATTTTGAAGATTAAATATCCTTAATTCGTTTTTCAGTCCTTTTATAAACATTTAACCGAAAAATGAAAATGATATATTTTTCTCAATTGTAGCGGGACAGATGTTTGATCTGTTTTAATATGTTTTATATAATTTTGTATTTAAACCGTGTTCAGTTGGACGAGCAAGTGTCTCGGTGTCCTAAATCCTCTATTTTACCTCTCCGTCCCTATTTGCCTTCCTAAATCCTCGACGAATGTGAATAAAACCGCTTATTGTGAAATGGTCTTTTATAATGTTATTACTAAAATTATATAATTTGTTACTTAAATATATATTAAGTATTGTAATATAATGTTTAGAACGTCGACGTTTAACATAATCCGTAAGAATTAACATATTATTACGCTAAGTTAAAATGATTACAATTTATATTCAGACTGTTAATTAGAAGATCCATATTGATAAGTTATCGTCACGATCTTTTACATTTATTTTGATTTATTTAAACATTTACTACGAAATATTGATTCAATCGGCATCACAATATATAAAACACTAGTATTCAAGTTACAAATTTTCATGAGTCTGCTTAAAAGATATTTTTTTATATTTTTCCAATCTTAAAGGTCTTTTAATTTATTTCAATTTAAGTGTAGGATGTTTCTTACCTGAGCGGGCACACATGAAACGATGTACTGAAGTTTTGGTTTTAGTGGAACATAAACCAAGTGAACCAATTTTTGTTGTGTTGTTATAGATCATGGACCCGGACCTTATAGTAGAGGAGGCGGGGGAGATCAGTACCTCGCCCCGAACCTCCCTCCTCGGCAACACTACCAACAACAATCTCAATGTATATTATTTTTACGAGGTAGGTATTTGTTCTTTTATATTCCGTAAGCTCTAACAAACGTAACTTCCCATTTAAGGAACATTAACTTTTGCTATAAATTTTCATCGCTAGGGTTAGAATGTCTTTAATTCATCAATTGTTGATAAATTTATCCAATGATTTATGAATTAAATTTTGAAAGTTCGGTCTTTAAGAAGTAAATTAAGTCTCGTAATAAGAGGTGGTTCAGTTAAATCGAATTATTCTTCCTTGGTTTTCCTTGATTTAAATAAATTATAAAATATTTTCAGTATTCACGTGCACGTTATATTGTTTTCTAAATAAATCCTGTAGTAATTCAATATTATTACGAACCGAAATTAATTTTCTTATGTAAGCCGAGTCTATCAATTTAAAGTTGATTAAACCAAATTAATTCTATGAAATTATCTGATCGCTGAAATATAAGTCTTCAAGATATTTTTTTGTAATATTTTAGGAGAAATTTAATAACAGTAATAAAAAAATTTCGTCAAAATCTCAAATGTTAGATGACAAGACTTAAATATTCCATATATTCTAAATCAAATATTGGCTGTATATTTTCTTTTGATTGCATATTTTTTACATAAAGCAATCTAATATAGAAAATATTTAATAAGATTGCTATAACATAATTCTTGGAATTTTAATTAACATGAGTATCGGAGGGACATGTATTGTCAAATATTTTAGAATATATTCATACATATTCTTTTATTTACTAAATTAATTATGATACATAAAACCATCAAATAACATTTTATTGATTACAGATTTATTGATTGTTTCACTCTTAATAAAATATATGACATATTTCTGTCTGAAGGTTGACGATAAATTAAATATAATAGATGTAAGTTATCATAAAAGGCTCCATGTAAAGTAAATCACACCCACGTGTTTAAGGATAAGCTTAATATCATGAAAGGTTTCAATGTAATGGACGTATAGGATATCGTTGAATGATGCGATAACAAACGCCCTCATAGCCTTTCAATATTAGTCGTGTTACTACTCAGATATTAGGCTGCGTTTGTACTCTCAGACATATCAGACAAATAACGATAGAGGAGCGACCAGTGTGTTCGGCCCAAGTCTATATCGTCACGCTATACAGGGCTTTAATAGTTATTCATTCCTAAATACTATTAATGTAGGTTATTTAATGGAAAACTTGGAATACATTGTATGTAGTATGTGCTAGTCACACCATAGACTAACGTTATTTCAAAATAGTCTTTAACTGTGGTTATCATTTTCATTATTGTATTCTACATATATTGAATATCTTTCGATGGCTCAGAGTATCGATTCAATAGTTCTAAAGTGTTTAATTATTGAATGATTTTTTCAAAAACTTTGTACTTATTTTTTTTTTTGTTATAATTAATATTTTTACAGAATCTTTAATGAAAGTAATTTATAAAAGCTAAGTATTCTTAGAACAAAACTCTTTTCAGAATTTGTTGTTGTAGGAATGTTTTGGTGCTTTAAAATATATGTATTATAGATTTATAAGGTTGATTTTGTTTATAAGTGTTCCTTATATACCAGAATGAAAACTAGCAATTTAGTGCGCATGAATATATCTACATGAACGGAACTGCTTCAAAGGAATATAAACACCAGTAATTTGATATTTGCTTGAGGAACAACCCTGTTAATATTATTTGGAGATTTATATTTTACAAATTTCCCTATAAAATAATTTAAAAGTCTCTTCACATTTCCTATCTCCAGACATATTTATGAATAGCATTCTAAGCACTTTTCGTATTTCAATGTAAAGTTTAGAACATTTAACATTTAGTGTTTAACGTATGGCTACTAGGTAAAACGAGGAAATTTCCACTGAGAGATAAAGTGATATGGATTTTGGCCAAATTGGCTTCAAGCTTTGCACTTAAAAGGTTGGGTAAAAACAGATTATTCAATTTACATCACGCGATAACAGATAGTCACATCTAGAGTTGGTTACATGGAACAAATATTTATGAGAAGATTTATATTATGTTTCTTGGTTTACAGCTTTGTTTTGGTATCCTTAATAAAATATATGAAGCAAGATAATTTGACTGACACATAAGTTATACGGGACGGGTTATATTAAAATATTCTTATATACAATATTTTTTAAATGATTTTGGATTTTAAAATCGATATTTTTTTCGAGTTATCACGTAATGAATGAAAATTAATTTACTATCTGACTTTAAAACTTACAAAAAGTAGTAATTATATATTACAATAAATTTTCAATGAATACTGTCAATCAGATGAATGATGATGAATTAATTTTAATTGGGAATTGAAATAAATTTTGTGCTCACCTTTTATTGTGCAACTTCCACCTTAAATCTAGTATTTATTATATTTTTTTTCTTGTTTAATACCCACAATGAAACTAAAATATCTACCGTAGTTTTTTCTATTGTTGAATTTTACTATCATTTACATTATAAGGTCTAAAAATAAATTCGATTTAATGTTTTGAATCAAAAAACTTCCATTTAAACTACTGAGATACATAAAAATTTATTTTTCCTTATTATGGTGAGAAATTCCATACGATTCAGAGGAACGTGTAGAGAGCTTTAATAAAAACAACACAAATTTTCTGATCGATACTGGCGTTAAACAAACTATTTTTAAGTCTTTGCTCAAATAAAACGCCTTTTTCCGGGTTTATTCAAACTGTTAGTAGAAGATTAACGCCCATTGGGACTGAAATAGAACATTATTAAGAAATATTTTGAACCCGAACTGAAAAAATTGTCCTTTGTACATTAGAATCAATTCAATTTATTTTTAATCACATCTTGAAGTTGTATATGTTTTTTATAAAATTAAAATATCATAGAAATTATTGGAGTTTAGAAAATTAAGAAATTCTCTTGCATTCTCGTCTCTCTGAATGTAATTTTTATATTTATAAACAATAATTATATTGAATCTATTAATGGTACTTTTTATATTTAACTTAATTCATTGAAATAGAAATTCTTACGTCTGTGAATAATAGACAATTATCTTTGATTTTAAGTGTTACTTTTTAATACGATATATATTTTTATGTACAATTGTTAAGTGACAAACATATCAATCTCTAACCTCCTGGAGGTGTCATCATTCATCGTTGTGTGTTATATAGTTATGTTTGTGCCGCAGTCTGTCCAGTTCACGGTGATGTGGGTGCTGTTCGTGCTGATCGTGGTGCTGAACGCCTCCGTGATAGCAGCACTGCTCTGTACCAACGCCAGGAAGAGTCGCATGAACTTCTTCATCATGCAACTGGCGATAGCAGGTAGGATGTTGGAAAAGTTATTATTTATATAAAATATAACGAATATAAAGACACTTCTAGTATTTTCAGACACAAATATATTTTTTTGGTGTTGTTCCAAAATATTATTTATTGTCTGTCATTGTTGTTTATTAAATGAACCAGTGATCTCCGAACTTAAATATAAAAATATATAATTTTAATTTTGTTTAAAAAATATATATACATTTTATTGTATCTTCAATAACGAATTTATATTTTGTAACTTAAAGACTATTGTAGGCCAAATCAGTTTACAGCAAGACAAAGATTTGTTTATAGAAATATTATAACATTATTTTAATTTTGATTATAGCTTAACACTGGTAATACTATAGACATTGAGATATGTCTTCCGAATGTAATAAAACATTTTGAAGATCTTAAAAGCATGGTAATATGTGTAATTTAATTTCTTAATTTCACAAATTTAATGTACAATAGCAAAAAAATTCTTCCTACACTTCTCTACGTACATTTTTAATCCGTCTCCTCTTCCAACAAAATTATAAATATAAATTTGCTTTTTGTATAAAACTACAAAGTTGTGAGTAATTAACCCTCAACAAAAAAAATACGTGGTCTAAATCCAAACCGTCTAGTTTAAAACAAACTAGTTGAAGGGTCAGATTGTAACCAACAATGTGTTTCAATCCGTCCCAGCGGTCAGATTTAAGCGAGCATGACAATGTTACTTTCAACATTTCATAAACCCTTCCAGTGGAGGCAACCTTCTGTTTACCTCGCTCATTAATCTGTTTACCTAACTCATATCTCACGGAGTAGAAGAAACATGACAGCTACATCTGAATAAAGTATGTAGTGACAACTTGTTATTATACAAATGAAAGGTATACGAAGATGTCGTGATGCAAAATATATTAAATAAAGGCTGTTGTTGGATAGAAAAAAGAGACTTCATAATATCGCTAGGTTTCTTTTGAGAGTAATAAGTAAGTGAGTAGTCATACCTGCCACCTTTTTATTCTTTTTTTTTTAATTTCATAAAAATATTGTTAATGTTTTTTATTTAATATTTTTAAATATTGTATTCAAGAAAATAATCCTTTTGAACTCATATTATTATTATTAGTTTTATTAATATGTTACAAAAGTTATTTTTTTAAAGAGACCCTTTTGGTATGAGTTATTTATTCACTCACATTTAATTCACTCACAATTAATAAAGATAATTTTAATTTTAATAGGTCATTTGCACTTTGTACTTTAAAATAAAATACATAACAGTAAGAAAAGCAAATTCTTTGGGGTGTTTTTCTTAAGGAGCCGTATCTATTTATTACCTTTATTGTAAAGTTATCAACGAAGACACAAAAATATTGCTAATGCAAGCAGTCAAGTAAAAATACGAAGTCCCTCCTGAGTCGTTCGCTGAATTGTTAATAAAATAATATACGTTTCTTACTTGACACACTCGTGTAACACAAAGCCATCATCTTGTCACCTCAATTTGAGTTACTCCGCCTGTAAATCATTTATTTCGTTCAACGAACAAAAATATGTGAACAAATAAACAATATCCATTTTGTCTAATAATGTTCTAAGTTTTTTTGTTTTTTAATGTTCGATATGATATCAGAACGTAAGATGTTATAAATATATAATGAAAATATTTACTACAAAAGTCATCGAAAGAGATCACGCAACGAACATTAAAACATCCACAAATAGAACATGGCGAATTTAAGTTGTTCGCGTAATATATTAAAACAACATGTTCGTGTAATATTTTAAAATATTTTTCCATCAGCTGCCAGATATTAAGGAAAAACAGAAGGTTTGTAAATTATCCGCTACGGTCTAACATACTGGATGCGCCATTGAGAGATCTATTCCTGTGTTCTGACGTTCAGAGCTGATAATAAGGCATAATAAGATGTTATGTACACGATTTAGATCGACCAGAAACACAAGTTCCGGTATAAATAACATCTTTACGATACAATTCACAAACACAAAAACAGTTTATTTCGTACGTTACAAGAGCTCATTGATTTTTTCTGTTCTGTGAGATTTAAAGCTCTATCTGTTATTTACGCCGTGAACTGACACGTTCATTGACAAAAATAGTGCTTGTTAAAGTACTGAAAGTAAGTAAAAAAACTGAATAAGTTTTCCGATAGAATTAATATATTTATTGTTTCAGTCACGGGATTCTTAGTAAACAATGTTACATTGCATTAACATTTAATCTTTATTGTTAAATGTTAAGATTTATTTGAAGTGTTTTTCGATGCAGTACAGTGAAGGAGAAACAGAATTTATTGTTTTATTTCATTGGACGTCATAAAACTTACACAACGATGTTTACAAGAACCACTCACTGTGAAATCTCGGAAAGTTTTGCGACTTCTATAAAACTGATATTAAATTTTCCCCCCTGGGAATACCAAGTTTTCTTTTTTTAACAACTTCATGGCTGGCTTAGTATTTTTTTAATTATTATTTTATTTTTTTTGGTTATATATTAATTTTTATAAGATTATTAATTCCGCTTCGGTAATTTATTAATAGCACAAATCATTTGAAGATATACTTTATCTGCCAAACATGTGTTAGCCCTTTTATTAATTCTGTGACATTATTATTATTACATACATTTCTTCCTGCTTCCTTTATTTATATATATGCAAATGAATTTACAATATTAATTAATCAATCAAAGGGTTATACAGTGATAACCCTTCAGTTGTTTCAATCTTATAAGCGCCACATAAGTAAGTTAGACCAAAAGATGCTCCCCTCATCCAATGTCTAATGTTCTAAAACAGTTTATCTTATATTAGTTTTATCACTAGTGAATTGTAATAGCGATGGCTAATTACTGTTTGTTTTCTTCTTTTCTTGTAACAAAAACTTTATATGTTAGTACTCGGTTAAAATTTTTTACTTCTTTTCACAGTTATCGTTTGCTGTTTCAAAGCATATCTCTATTAGATAATTGAAGTACGTTATATTAATTCGTTAAATCATGTTAAATTTTGTAGTTACTCTAAATTGATAGTTTTTATGGCCAACATAAATACGACATACTAATCTATTGAGCATTTTGTTTTGACTAATTTATGTCATTATATTTTTAGTAAGTGTTTTTCCGTAGAAATCCCAAAATCGCTCGGATTATGGAACAGTGTTAGGGTTTTGCTTTGTTCGTGCTTATAAAAATATATTTACTAAAGAAAATACTAAGAAGCATCTCATATAAAAGCTTAACCTAAAATTAATACCGTGTAGCCTTCACTACTCAAGTATCAGTATAGTAATAATAACTTACTTGTATTTTGTAGATACTATTTTTATTTATAATTGACCTTTCAATTTTTATTATGGTTTAAGTTTAGGTGCTTGCAAAAGATTATATACTTTGAAATATGGAAATAGTCGCACCTCGTTTAAACTTTTATGGATTTCCATTGTATGTTTGCACTAACGTTTAATTGTAAAGTGAAAAGAGACGAAGGAATATGTGAACATACAATACCAATAAACGCTTAACAGTCTAGACGGTTTCTCCATTCAATTATAAAAAACACTTTTAAATTGATGTCCAGATGTCAGTTCTCTTTTATTGCGGGAATCTTTGTTAAAGTACGTACATAACAGACAAATACAGATTGTTGAGAGATTGAAGGGAATTAACTTTTTTATCTATAAAGCTTATTTTTTGGAAGTGGTAAAAAAGGTTTTATTTCACGTTATTTGTAATATAAGAGAGGCATAAGGGTGACCCCGATAACTGATATTCTGACGCAGGAAGATCATAAAACGGGAGCTTAATCCAACCCTGGCTATTGTTAACAAAATAGAGGCAAAATATTTTGTAAACTAAGCTTCGTATGGACTATGGACTATGAGATTGATAGGCAAGGATTACTACCAGTCGGTTTATTGCGATTTTGAAAAGACCTCTTTAATGATATAGTTTAAATTTTGTTACAAAAGAATACATTTTATGTGAAATGGGATCAAATACACGAATTACTACTATTTCTTAAATGGTATTTAGTTCTGTGGTAAGGATTTTTTTTAAATTAAGAAATAAAGTATTGACTATACTTTTTTAAAATAGTAATTTTATTGATTTAGGAATGAATTTATTACAATTATTTATATACCAAGATATAGGAATTCAATACTAACAATATATAACGAGAGAAATCAATTCATCTCAAAATAGCAAATCTTCTGAAAATATCTTGTTTTTATGACGTGGGCATCACGTTATAATTTAATAAAATAGCTTTGAATCATTGGTTTCGTACTGTTTCTACTAAATCTGTTTCGTTCTAATAATATCTTTGTTTATATGTCTTTTTTATATTTATTTGTGTTTGTTATAGATTTATTCGTGGGTCTTATAAACGTGTTCGGTGATATAGTCCACAAGATCACCATCGCCTGGCTGGCAGGAGAGTTCATGTGCAAATTTGTAAGGTTCTTACAGGTAATATAACTTTTATTTTTAACTTCATATTAATATAATTATTAAGTAAAGGGATTCAAAATGTTAATTTAAAAGTAAACTATTTCCGTTTTATACAACAAAAAATATAATTAATCAACATGAAAAGTGCATAATAAAAGTCTCCACTGTAAATTAATTTTCATAGCCAGATGATAATTGAATAACATTTGTTATGTCTGTCGTAGGGGTGTGTCATGACGGCTTCTAACGGTCACAAAATTTAACCATGAGCCATAAATTCACCATCTTATCAATTAGTGTAGTCATGTGGACGATTTATTCAATTTATCGACACTTAACCTGCTCTCTTTATAATTTATACGTTCATAATAAAAGTTAGCGACTTTTTTATTATAGAAATATACGAACATTTACGACGTTATAAAATGAATTGTTGCAAAGTATTTTCGTATTCATATTTCAATTTGTTAAATCGTAAAATACAATTTATATAAAATTGATTCTCTCGTTGATGTTTTATAATAGCTGCTATCGACAGGTACGTTTTGAGGATAACAAAAATATGTAGGCTATTGTGTTCTAACGTTAAAAATGTTTATTATATAAATAACTTGTTGTATATCCACAGGGGATTGTCGTGTACGCGTCCACGTATGTGTTGGTCGCACTCAGTATAGATCGCTGCGACGCCATCACAAATCCCATGAATTTCTCCGGCAGCTGTGAGTTGCATACATTCACTTCAAAAATTCCTATAGTCATCGAATTCACTCTCCTTAAAATACGAGATAACTTGCATTTTACTAAATTCAATTTTAAATTTAGTTTCTAACAACAGATCAAATTTATCCAATTAGTATTTCATATTTGACCATTGTATAAAGCCATCAAGATTTCAGGAGTTGATAGTTTTTTTCCACCAGGGAACAGAGCGCGTGGACTAGTGGTATCTGCTTGGGCGGTGAGCGTATTGTTTTCAATACCTCTTCTAGTACTGTACGAGGTCAAGGAAGTTCAGGGTAATGCTTCATACACGTATACTCTATTATTTGTGTGAGAAAGTTGATGTTTTATAAACTATTTACATGTGCTTTGAATACTCAAAGAAAATATCATTTTTAAAATACTTTAATTTGACATTAGGCAATGATGATCACCTTCAACTTTGTATTGTAACATTTGCGGCTTTTTAAATAATTAATACCTAACGAAAAGAGAATTGTAAATAAAATACTGAATAAAAAAAATATGATTTCAGAAAGTCAAAGATTTTAAATTCATTTCCAACATAATATTTCTATTGTATGAAATATAACAGTATAAGAGATAAGTATTTTACGGCATTATGTCATATTATAATGGAATACATTGTGCTCATCCTACTTATACAATACATCGATTATATTTCGACACGTTATAATTGATCGGACGAGGGTGTTCATACCTTCCGGGTCTATGTAATCCTAAAGACCCTCGAGGGTTTTCCAATTATTTATTAACGACAAACGATAACGATCGTAATAAGTTTTAGACCTCGATCGATTTAACTTTTAGATTAAAAATTTACTTCAAGGACTAAATTCAATTTAAATGAAAAAATATTTGATAAATATTAAAAAGAATTGATTATTATTATCAAATTATTTAAAAAAATATATAAATCAGACAAACAACCATATACATACATATATTAATTGTTACTAAAATCGTAATCAAGTTCATAAATCACGATCGATGAAACACGAAATGTTTGAACCATACCAGAAGATAAATTTTGCATATTTATATTTCATACAGTGCCCCCTCAACCTACAAAACCCCCTTACATTTTACATCCTCACCTTAAAATATATTCGATGATATAAGGTTTATTACTTATAATTTGTAGGTCAGCTTCAATGTTGGATCGAGCTGGGTAGTCCTCGTCGCTGGCAGGTGTGGATGACGCTGGTCTCCGTGATGATCTTCGTCCTACCAGCGCTGGCTATCGCTGCTTGTTATGCGGTCATCGTCTTCACTATATGGACGAAGAGTAAAGCCGTCGTCATGAGCCCTCCGGTCAATTCCAGAAGAACTAAGAGTTTGAGAAACGGTTAGTTAGAACTTAGAATCCGTGGAGGGTTTTATTTATTTTTATTTATTTATTTTTGTACCAACAAAGTATACAGTAAATTCAATGACAGATATGTACAAGGATTTTAGTACGTGAAAGGAGTTTTTTTTTATTTAAGTATGGGTTTCGGATTTACTTTGTGTTATAACACGACTATGGTTACTGAGAAGTTATTGAAGCATCATTAGTATTATGGAAACATTAAAATACGAAAAGGGTTTAATTTAAATGTGCACTCGCGAAAGGGTTACATAAGAGAGTTATTTTCTTTTAGCAGCAATTTGTTAATAATATAATTAAAATCGTTTCTTAAAAGTCAATAATAAACTACTTTTCTATAAATTAACATATATTTGAAAGGAATTTATAACTTTTCAAACGTGACTATCAAACTGTTTGTTTAAAAATATTTTTAGAGTAACACTTCAAAAGATTTCATAAAACATCTTAGTTCCCTGTTTCCGCTAAATAAAAATAATACAACGGCTTGATATAAAACAACTGGCTTCCTTGTAACACGAAGCTGTCTTGAAATCGTAAACTGTCATATTTTTCATCATGTTTAATTATTACGAGGAATAAGAATTTTTATAATAATAAAGAACCTAACAATTTTTATATCTCTCATGAGTAATAGATATCGCTTTTGTGTAATATATAAATATTATTTTATAAAAACTCTCTTTGTACGAACTGTAACGACACACAATTAATCTTCAGTATTATGTTCAGAGAAATTGATACATTACTTTGCACTGGCCGGCAGTGACATCTAGCGTTTGTTTCATGTAACTTCATATAAGATACATTGTAACTTCCTGTATAACTACAAGGAATGAAAGAATAACACGTCAAAGCCTAAAGTAAAAGTTTTATCAAAATCCATTTAGAAGATATATTTTACGGAAATAAACAACAAATGTTTGGTATGAATATTAAAGTTTAACCAAAACATATTCACAAAATTTAGCATTCATAGCATTTGAGAGATGTGTGTAAATTGAACTTATGACATCAACAATTCTGTTCGCATATTTGGCAATTAACTGGGTACGAATAACGTTATATGAATTAATTTAATGCAATGAAATTCGTTTATTTAAAGGTTTCCCCTTAATTGACGAATGAGGATATAAATTTGTGGGCCTGTTATTAAAATATATTCATTGGTTTATGCTATATGGTATACATATGCAGGTCGAAGTGACTGTGAACCGGAGTCACGGCGAGCCAGTTCAAGAGGACTCATACCTCGAGCGAAGATCAAGAGTGTGAAGATGACGTTCGTTATTGTGTTCGGTAAGTTAAGAAAAAACTAAAGTCTCAATGGAGGCGTAAGAACCGTGAGAATGAATGTGTTATCTGATGGCATGTACATGTGTAAAAATATAATGTTAAAATCCATTTCAAAGTCGTACATTGATGAAGAGTTATTGAATCAATTAATTCTAAAATATGTAGAAAAGAATATTGAGAAACTTTTAGCATTTTATACTGCACATATTACAAGTTGAGAGAATAAACAAAGGAATTCCCAGGGTATTTTTAAAAATACATTTACTGTATTATCTTTGTAAGAACATTGCCACTTTCTAATATCGGATTACAAACAAAATAATTGCGGTGATTCATTGTCTCGAAAAAAAAAATATTTTTGGCCCAAAACGAATTTCTTAATGGTATGCTATTTTTAACACAAAATATAAAAGCGTTATAGTTAATTTGACTGTATATTTCGACGCGGCATTTTAGTGAACTGTGTTCTGTTTTCTTTAGACGGCCTCAATTCGGTTCAAGATCAAAACTATTTTTATCCCCTGGCGATGCTTGTAGCTTCCTTGTCACATCTGTTATTTTGACAACATTTTTTTGGGTCGTCTCAAACGTCCATGTCGAGCAATACATATTATCGGCCTACTTGATTTCTTCAACGCCCCAATTAGATGTCTATTTTTTCCTTCTCTCATTATTTCTTGATAATATTTTCAATATAACTGAAAATTTTTAATTAGCGGGGTCGTAAATCGTTTCATTTTATTAGGTTTAAAAATAGGTAAAATAAATTCAGTGTGGCCATTCTGTAACATAAATTACTTTTATGACAGCGAAATATGTGAAGTTATTGTAATAAATTGCAATTTTTACCCAGCGGGGAATAAATGATATTCATTCCAAATATTTTGTAAACACAAAATTAATTTCGTTCAAGGATATACATCATAGTTGATACTTTATTAATTCTAAGTTACTATACAAAGTTTTGACACTCACATAATTTAACAAAGAAGTTAAATTTTGAGAAATCCTATACGCGGATTGTATTTTATATTAACATTTATTTATGAAAAAGTGTATAGGCTAAAAGAAGTTTGCTTTTAAGAATTTATGAATACCGCCCAAAAAGTTTTGATTAAAAAATTAGTTCCAGACAAACTTTGAAAGGGAACTAATGGATCAATTTTAACAGTTTTTTTATATATATTAAAATTGTTAAAATACCAAAAACATTTTTAAAACTTTACAAAATTGAGAATTTTAATGAATTAATTTAAAGAAAGGCCCAGAGTTTTTCTTTAAAAAAATTCATGAAAATAAACGTCGCTTTTAAAATTCAATTTAATTTTTGTTCAATTGTTAAAGTTTGCGACGCAACAATAGTTAAATATTTAGATGAGAAGATTTTATCTATATCAGAATTGTATAAACTGTTTCAGTGTTCGTGTTGTGCTGGTCGCCGTACATCGTGTTCGACCTGCTGCAGGTGTACGACCAGATCCCTTTGACACAGACGACGTCTGCTGTGGCGACGCTCATTCAAAGTCTCGCGCCACTCAACTCCGCCGCCAACCCACTCATCTGTTGCATGTTTTCGCCGCATATTTACACTAGTCTTAGGTGAATTTTATTTGTTTAAACTTGTCTTTTAAAAGACGTCTCTTGTTATCGGGTGATTGAGTACATCGGTATTGTATTTAGAAAGATAATGCTCTCAATGTGGTGTCCAATTTGGGGGGACGGTTTACTTATTACAATTTTTTTTAAATATTGGTATAAACAACTCAAAACTTAAAAAAAGAATAACGATGTTATTCAATATTCCGTTGCAATATAATACATAAACTATACATTAGAAATAATTTATTTATAGAACTAAATAATATTAGGTCTTAATAATTGAAATTGGCGATCTCAAGTAACTCCTTTTAGGTTAGGAATTCCAGTTTTAAATTTGTACAACTCTCATTGATGCCTTTTTTGAAAACCGAAATCCTTATGTTTCAACCTGCATATCAAGCTTTATGGGCGGCTGGAGAGGAAATTTAATAAGGAAGAATTAAAGCCTACTGTGGCAACAGATCCATCGCAAAAAACGTCCAAGTTAATTGCAAGCTACGGTGCTAATTACAAAACTGTTCTAATCTAAAAGATTACTATTTTATTCGAAATTTGGATAGTTATTGAATAAGTTAACTCCGATTTGTCACTTCGGAGTAGATTTTTAGAAGAGAGATAGCGCTTTTAATTTTTTTCATTTCCATACGAATCTAATTTTTTTATTAAAAGATCAACAGACATTCTGTGGGTAGACTTGAAACTGTACACATCTTTTTAATTTGCTCTTAAATATTTCTATTTTTATTTATTGTTTTATTGAGTTGTATTACATGAATTAAGTTTATTTTTATAAAACAATCACCACTCCTTCTAAATTTCACTTTAGTTTGCACAAAAGAGCACTTTTAAAAATATAATAGTAACATGGATCAATCACTCCAAATGGCATCTAATTTTGATGAAATTGTCAAAATGTTTGATTCGCGTATGAAGATTTATGAAGACCGGCTGAAGAAGCTTTCCCCATCGTGTTCAGCTCCTTCGATGGATTTAAAATCATTGACGAACGAGTTTCTTGACTTCAAAACCTTTGTATGGAAAACTCTCACACTAATGAAGTCACAGGTTGAGATGCTGACTGTTGGTTTGGAACGTCATGAAGCCTACTTGAGAAGAAAGGTTGTCCTTGTTCATGGAGTACCTGAGGAGAAAAATGAGAAGCTCAGCAATGTTATTATGAACATATTATCCAGCCGATTAGAGTTATCAGACATTTCTCCGAGTGAAGTTCAAGTTTGTCACCGGCTGGGGGCTCATAAAGGTAAACCTAGGCCTATCTTGGTCAGGTTTAATAACCTTAGCACACGCCAGCTAGTATGGAACTCAAAAACTTTGCTTAAAGGTACCGGTATCACTCTTTCCGAATTCCTTACGAAATCCAAACATCGTGTTTTTATGGAGGCCAGAAAAGAATTTGGTGTTAACAGCTGCTGGACATCCGACGGCAAGATCATCATATTGCTTCCCGACAAAACACGCCGGAAAGTGGAAGTCATGTCGGATCTTCAAGCAGTAGTTTCAAAGTATTCGACTTCAACTTCGAAATCGCAACCATTGCCTGACCGACCTGCAACCAAGAGTGCCGATAAGGAGAAAGAAAAGCCCATTTTAAAATCTCCCAGAAAAGTTAGACGTAAGTTGTAACCTCAGTAATGTTGTTCACTTTGTCGTTTTATACTTCCACGTACCTTTTTCATTTGGCCGGGTTACTGCAACTTACTTTTAAAGTTTATAATACTTTGTGGGGTATTACAAATTTTTACAATTGTGCTTTAGTCTGTATAGTAAATTTGTAATTTCTTTTTTATTAATATTCGTATGATAATTATTACTAGTCATTGTCGTTGCATATGACATTGACATAGAACACTGTGATGTGACTTTTGACACATGACAGTGGCAGTGCATTTATAAAGTATGTCACATAATTCGCTGTATGTTTGGTTACGTATTTTAATTTTAATTTTTTGTTTTCTCTTGTTTTTAATGGAGTACTTCTGACTGCATTTTATTTATTATTATTATTTTTTTGTGCAGGTTAATTGTTATTGTTATTTTGAGTGGTGTGTTAAATGTTAAGATTTATTTTATTTTTTTTTTTATATTTTAATTTTTAAGCATTAATTATAGTAACTTTAGTTTTTTCTTTTTTAATAATATTTTAATATATATTTATTTTATATCTTTTAACTATGGATTATGCCAATCGAATTAATATTAGCCCAATTTCTTACTCTTCTTCAAGTGACGAATTTTTTAGTGCCGAAAGCGATGATACACCTGACCTTCTATTAAATGATCAATTACAAACCATATTTTCTCCTTTTCATAATAATCTGAATATTGTTCATATAAACGCTCAGAGTATCCCTGCTCATTTTTCAGATCTTTCAGAGTGCTTCAGTAATAGTCAAGTAGACGCCATTCTAATTTCTGAAACTTTCTTAAAACCTTCGCTTCCTTCGATTCAATTTACCCTACCTGGTTACAAGTTGATTAGGAATGACAGAACTGGAAAAGGCGGTGGTGGTGTTGCAATTTATTTGCGATGCAATATTCCTTTTAGAATTATATCATCCTCACCTACCCAATACTCCGAATCAGCAGAATTCCTTTTTCTTGAAATTGTCCTATCCCACTCCAAAACACTTCTAGGTGTTCTTTATAGTCCATCTGTCCACATTGATTACTTCTCCACTTTAGATAATATCCTTAATAACCTTTGTCCTTTATATGATCACCTTCTGCTGATGGGAGATTTTAACACCTGTTTGTTGAAAAACGACAGTCGTTCTCGTAAACTCCTTTCAATTCTGTCTTCCTTAAACTTGCATTCCCTCTCCCTGTCTGCAACACATCACTTCCCTAATACGACACCTTCCCTACTTGACCTTATTATTGTTTCCCATCCTGACCATGTGGCTACGCATGGTCAACTCCCATCTTGCTTTTCCTATCATGACCTTATATTTATTTCCTATAATGTCCATCCTTCCAAAACCAAAGCTCCTTATGCCATTCGTCGCTGCTTTAATCAGATTGATATGAGTAAACTTAAAAGTGATGCAGACAGTATTGATTGGACGCAGGTGTTCAATGAGAATACAGTGAACTCAAAAATTGAAGTTTTTAATTCGAAATTAAGTAACCTGTATGATGTTCATGCCCCCGTTAAACGTATTCGAATAAAACATCGTCCTGCGCCCTGGATTACCGACAGCATAAGGGAAATGATGTCTAAGCGCAACAAAGCTAAAGCTCGCCTTAAGAAATTTCCAACGGTTGATAACTTGGACCGGTACAGATTGTTGCGCAACCGATGCAATAAATTATGTCGCGAAGCTAAGCGAAGGTACATCCACAACACTATCGACAATTCTGACAGCAAGCAGGTCTGGAGTTTCCTTAAATCTTTCGGTATTGGTAAAGTTCCTTTTTCTGGTGACAATTCAGTAGATCTCAACGCTTTAAACTCACACTTCTCTACATACCCTGTTCCTATAGATGATCTCACGAAAACAAGAACTATTTCGGATTTATCCAAAACTATATTACCGCAGTGTTCTTCATTCTCTCTACAGCCAGTTACCGAAGATGATGTGAGGAGGCATATTTTGTCCATTAAATCAGCAGCAATTGGTTGTGACCTGATATGCTCCAGAATGATTCTCCTTATTCTTCCTGAGCTCCTTCCAGTACTGACACACATATTTAATTTTTCCATTAGTTCATCTACCTTTCCATCAGTATGGAAAAATGCTCGAATTATTCCTTTACCTAAAATATCCAACCCTACCACTCCGTCACATTATCGCCCTATTTCAATCCTTCCTTTCCTCTCTAAAGTTCTGGAACATGTCATTCACGAACAGTTAGCACAGCATCTAGTTTCTAATTGTCTTCTGAATCCTTGGCAGTCTGGGTTCCGGCCTGGTCACAGCACTGTAACAGCCCTTCTAAAAGTAACAGAAGACATTAGATACGCTATGGACAATCGCCAGCTTACTGTAGTCGTATTACTTGACTTCAGTAATGCATTTAACTCTGTAGATTTCGACATTCTGTTAAGTGTGCTTAGGTCTATAAATGTTTCTTCCTCTTCGTGTAGCTGGTTCGAGTCTTATCTTCGAGGACGCTCGCAGTGCATCCAATTGGGTGAACTTCACTCAAATTGGTGTAATCTTAAATCGGGTGTTCCTCAAGGCGGTGTGCTATCTCCCCTATTATTTTCCATCTTCATTAACACTATATCTGCGGTAATTTCTTCTAAGTTTCATCTTTACGCTGACGATCTACAATTGTATCGCCACTTTAGTGTTGCGGATGCTACAACAGCTATTGCCGGGGTTAATGAAGATCTTAGACGTATACACAGTTGGGCTGAGCGGTTTGGACTTGTGGTTAATCCTACGAAATCACAGGCTTTAGTTGTTGGTAGTCGTAATATGCTCAAATCATTAAATCACATTTCTCCTTTGGTGTATAACGGCATACCAATAAACTATACCGATTCTGCTAAAAACCTAGGTCTTCATTTTAGTAACGACCTGTCCTGGTCTAAGCATATCAACGAGGTAAGTAAAAAACTTCTCTTTTCTATTCACTCACTAAAAAACTTGCAGTACTTCCTTCCCATCAAAACTAAAATTCTTCTTGTCCAGTCTCTTCTCCTACCTATCTTAGACTACGCTGATTCCTGCTACCTTGACACTACTGAAGAACTACTTAATAAACTTGAGAGGCTACAAAACCTTTGTATTCGGTATATTTTCGGACTCCGCAAATTTGACCATATCTCCAAATATCGAGCTGAACTCAAGTGGCTTCCCGTAAGACTTCGCAGGGATACTCACGTTTTATATCTCCTTTACAACGTCCTATTTAATCCCCTGTACCCTACTTACCTTCGTGAGCGTTTTGTATTCCTGCATCCCCCTGGTTCCCCTTGTCGCCCCAATGTCCAGTTATTACTCCGTATCCCATCCCATACTTCCAATTTCTACTCAAACTCTTTCTCTGTCAATGCAGCGAGACTGTGGAATTCACTACCGGCTACTATTCGCACTTGTAAGTCCTTCTACACTTTTAAAAAGAAATTAAAAGAGTACTTCCTATCCAATATTGATTCGTAATTAAATGGCATAGACATATTTATTTATTTATGTATTTATATATTAGTTTATGTATGTATAATTATCTTTTAATATATATTTTTAAGTAAAATTAATTTTAATGTTTTTTTTTTGTTATTATTATTATTATTATTTTTTTCTTCTTGTTTAGTATTAGTTTATGTTTTTTTTTTTTTTTGTTTTTTTGTTGTATCTTTTATCCTTTGTTCGATTTTTCCGTCTACCTTAAGTTCTCTATCTACACTTCTCCCTTCCCGGGTATACTGGAAGAAATCCCTTCTAGGGATAAGTATACCTTTTAAACTTATTTTTCCTGTGTTATATTCTTTTGTCCTTTATGTTTCTGATGTTTAAAAAATTGTTAAATAAATAAATAAAATAAAATCAATGAACTACCTATGAGATGGCCAAAATGCACAAATAGCAATGGTACTTTGATTATAAATATATTACATTTTGAAAAAAATCAACTTTCTTCCTTACAAAACGCCAATTTCATATATTAGGAGCTAATATCAAAAAATACATCCTTTAAAGGAAAGCCCGCCATGCCGATATGCGACACTCTTGTCCCTGCTTTAACAAGAAATGAACTTATTAACAGTGTATTAACTTGTTACCTTCGTTTATTCTTAACATTTGCTCAAAAATAGACACTTTAATATATTATTATTAAGGTAATTTAAATTTAACCTTAGAATATAGTAGTATTAATTTAATATTAATTCCTTCAACATTATCTCCTCAGACGCGTGCCTCCTTACCGTTGGATGTGGTGTGGTCGTGGTCGCGCACGCGGCACCCTCCGCTCACGGTCTGACTCAACTGCACACTCTGACCTGCTGAGCTCCACTCATGCAAGAAGATCACACTCGGTCGCTAAGGTATATAATTAGATTTAATATTAGTAAAAAATTCACCTAGCATCTGACTGGTACAACTGACCACCTTCTCATTTTGTCAATGGATCTTAGAAAGAACTATTTTGCAAAACATCCCTCTATATTATGTATAGCGTCCGCAAACTATTGGACATTTTCCATTGATTATTCTCATGAGCAAACAGAGAGATAGAAATATAAAAATGTTATAGTACCAACTAAAACAATTTTTGATCCATCTGTATTGAAATCATTGTCAGGATCCTATTGTCTTAGCTTAACATTATCAGGATCCCTGAAACGGAATAAGGAAAGATTGATATAACCAGTTACTCGCACGTATACATATATGGTTAAATACATAGTATATACAGTCTATATCTTTATCCTAATTCTTTGTCAACTATTGCAGGTTTTGAATCGCTCGTCTGGAAGCTCATCAGCTGGTTCTCGTCGCGCCCAGCTACTGGTGCTGGCACCTCGCCCGTGACGTCATCGTGACGTCATGCTGTAAAATGCACGATGACGTCATTACCCCCAGTGCTTTAGTAGTCCAAGTGAAGTGAACTGAACGATACGAAACTGACCCATCTACAATTGTCAAGATGATTTTGTAATAGCAATATTAAAGATCATCGAACATATATTATTGCAAAATAATATTCAATGTCGTTCCACTCACAGTGTCAAATAATAATCTTTAGCATTGTTTAGTCACGTAATAATTCTATTCTAAGACTGTAATCGATATAAGATCTTTTGCTTTGAAATCATTTATCTAATCAATTAGATCAACTTACACAATTTATATTTTTAATTAGATACATTTTCCCAAGAACATTTTTTCTGTATGTCTGCAAAATTATTTACTTTTGTGTATCTTATTTTATAAATGTGGGACGAACAACAAATGTATGCTCATAGAGTCCATACAAAATTCGAAATTAAAAGGTATTTAAATCATCAATTTACTATCATATATTAAGAAAAAGAAAGCAAATACAGAAACGCTATAAAACATGATTTGCAATGAAATGAATAATGAAAAAAATGTTACTATAATAATAATATTTGTAATATAAATGAGCCAGGTAAGTTTATTCTATATAAGTGAAATATATTATATAATTCTAGCTATATACTCTGTAAGTTTTACGGCCAAAGAGTATTTTTTTAATTATATTATTAATTCTTACTGTATCTTGACGATTAGCTTACAATGACTCTTATCATTATGAGCTAATTAAGACTGAATCTAAAGTGAAAATAATATAAACGAGGAATCACTGTAATTGCATCTATTATTACTATACATATTGTATTATTATTTGTTTATATCTTGGATATACTAAATATATTTATACTTTTAAGTTATTCAGGTCTACTTAGAATCAGCGCCATCTATTGTCCGTGTTAGTTACTGTAATGCCTTGTTCCCGCGGGAACTTCACGGTAGTACAGAATAAATATCTCATTTATATATATATATATATATATATATATATATATATATATATATATATGTTTTTATATATTTGTAAGGGTATTACGTACAAGAATATCAACCGTCTGCAAATACTTCCGCTCATCCTCACAAATTCTTGTTTATAATGTTAGTGTATTGTGTTATAGTGAAATTATTAAGAAAATTTTGGTTCTTTATGAATTTTATCCATTTATTTAATTTTGGTTACGTACATCTTGTAATTCATTATAAATACAAATGAATGAAACTTGTGTCGATGTGTTAATTTTAAATATTATGGAATATGATTACTTTTCAACAACAAGAATTGAGAAAAATTAAAAAAAAATGTATGATAACGTCTTGTAGATTAGTTGATAAAAATTATTATCTAAATGTTAAGGTTCGTATTTAAACGTAATATGAGTATTAAAATATATTAAGAAATAAGGCCCTAGTCTTTCTGGTTATGTATTATTAATTAAAGTGTCTGAATAAGCCAACAACGAAATACGTTTCGATAGAACATAATAATCTATGGTATAGCTTAAATTTATACACAAATGTACATAATATAATTGTACTTATTTATGTATTGTAAGTCTTTTAGTGTGTGTACAATATTTTTGTACAAACATGAATGTAAAAATTAAATGTTCTCTATCTATATTATTAAAATATATTATAAAGGTGTCGCGTGTTTTAATCACTTAGCCATAATATATACCTGCATATATTTTTTAAATTAGAACTGTAAAGTGCTTGGCTATTATCCCTCCAGATAGTAAAAAGAGATCTAGCCTTAGATGGTCTCAACCTATGCACACTTTCTTTGAAATCCTCCAAGTTTTAAGTGGATGGGAACAATGATGCAAATAAAATGGTTCTTATAAAGTTAATATGTAATAAAGGAAATTAACTTTTCCAATATTTTTCTGTGTCCATGATAGGAGATGGAATAGTATCGCTTCATTTATATGCAAGGAAAATATATAACGGGATAGAGCTTCGGCATTAATCTTGTTGGGTGAACACAAAACAGATGGAATAATTTGACTAATTAAATTATTATTAACCAAATCGTTGTCACCAATAACGCTTTTTATAAGTATATCCGCGGAAGAAATCATTTGGTATTCTTTTTCAAAAGTGAAGAAACAAGTTTAGTATACTGTAGCCACAAAGAAGAAGTATCAGAGGAAATACACCAAAACTGTTTCTTTAGTTTTTCTATGCTATTAATTAATACCTGACGGATTATAATTTTGTGTGTCTCTTTTAAATTTTAGCATAGTATTTATAATTACTTACTTTTTATTTAATCTACCTGAACCCCAGAAAGGCTAAATGACTCCTCCAGTCATACACCTCTGAAACTTCTATCAGATACTGGATTCCAGTTTGGACCAGCCTTCATTATTTACTTAAAGAGTTTCCAAGACTTAGGCACTTAATCTGGTCAGAGCCAAAGACGACTGCGGTGCGTATGGTTTAAGCATTATAGTATAAATAACATCTGGGCTACTAGCTTTGTTGATGTCAAGATTTAGCCAGAGAAGATGGTAAGGATTGATAGCAGTTCATCTAAACTTATTATGTTCATTAGGATCCAAACTACCTTTCTTTGTTCTGCTATGGGGATTGGTTTAAAGCTCTCTTTTTGGAACTAATAACAGGGTCATGTTTTTAAATAATTTAAGCAATTATAGAAACAATATCACTTGTAGTTTCCCTTTACAAATGATACGAGAGAAAACTAAGGACTTATTATCCAATGTCTGTGTACAAATTTTTCGAACACTTGTGAATTTTTACTTTCTTTATAATAACGAAGATTTTTTTCGGTACAAATTCAATTACACTATTAATTGTATCCGATATTATTTTCATAATTTTAATTTAGACTAACTTAACTATACCTCATCAGATAGAAAATATGGAGGATAAAATTAATTATTTTAAAACATGCTTGTGGAAATGTGGTTTTCAGAATTTCACCAAAAATTCTACGTCTTGTGTAATTAATTTGAGATGAATTCATATATGGGGAATAAATATTAGAGATGAAAATTCTTGGAATTCTGAAGATATTTCAGTAGATGGTGTTGTATAAACTTCTATTGTAATTTTATTTACATCATTAAAAAACTTTTCGGCTGTGGTATAATATCCGCGACCTTGTTATTTATCTAATACTTTTCTTCTTCACTAATGAAACCAAACCTTCTACAATGTTTATTAAATCGCATTTATTAGCCTATTAACTTGTTTGTTGTTTGAATTGATAGCTTATCTAATAAATGATTTTGTTACGCAAAAACTAGAACTAACAATATGAATATAAATATTAAACAGTTTAAGGTTACGGTTAATGTATAAAATAAATAGTAAGTCTACTTTTATACATATTATTAAATAAGATGTGAGGTGAATAAGTGATAATTTCATTTTAATATTCTTTATACAATGACTGCTCTTGCAGCATGATAACATCGTACTCGTAAGTTCGCTCGCCGCCGGAAAAACTGAACTTACAACCCACTACATTGTAATAAGTATACACTTTGTTAAATAATACATCTCGTACACGATCTTCATATACTTTACAAGTGAAAGATTTTAATATTATAATTGAAAGACAAGAATTAAGTAATTTAAAATAAGAGCATATTTAAACAAATCATTCATTGTTTTAGCGAACAATAAAAATCATTCATGTGGATGATTAAAAATTCTTATTGTAAGTGTTAAGATTAAAGAACTCGTATGTACTTTAATTATTTTACACAAGTAAATTTGTAGATCTGTTCTTGTATATGTATTTTATTAAGGTAAAATTTATTTTAATTTGATATTCGTTTTAATATCAAAAACTAAACTAATAGAGTAAGTAGTCTTATTTTAGTTTTTAAATTTCTAATGATATTAATTTTTTACGCAAACCTAAAAAATAATGTAGATCAAATAGACAGTTTTATTCTAAGAAATAGTTATCAAATAAAATGACGCCGTCGGTTTTTTTTTAATAAGTCGGTTATTTAAGTTATCTTTTCATTTATCCTTAGCCAATCAAATCAATTTTGATACTATAACTTTATATTATGCGAAATTGTACTATTTGAAGCAATTTTCAATACATAAATAAAATCATTGTTGTATAAAGTCTGAACCAGTCAAAGCATATATTGTTTAATTTCTCTGTGATCGAATACAAGCCGCGTGTTGTATTGTAACCGAGTGTATCGGTTAGTGTGTTTGAGAGAGGTTCATTAATTCAGATTAATTATAATGTTCAAGACCAAAAGCTATTATGAAGTAATTTAAGGGCTCAGAGTAATTTAAACCTTAACCTTCATGTAATGTGTTTACGGCAGTACGGGTTTTGATCTTTATTGATTTCATGTCATGTTAACATAGAAAATTGAATTTGGTGATTCTGGGATTTGTCAGCGGCGATAATAGAATGAATAATACAAAAAATATTAGACTACATTAAATGAATTCAGTGTAAAATTGCGTAATAATGATTTTATAATAATCGTTTTATATTACGAGAGTTCCATTTCCAATTCAATGATTATGGTTGTGAGTTTATATGTATAACTTTCTTGTGTTTCAGTTTTGGCGTTTACGTTTTAGCAGACCGCTGGGTCCGGGCTAAGGTTTATTAAGGTAAAAATTCCCTTTTCAAAACTATGTCATAAATAACTGGTATTTTAAAAAATTATAATTATAAATCTCGTCTAAAATAGAGAAAACCTACAATTTTCTAAAGCAGAAAATCTACCAGTTGTCGCTGCATAGCTGGAGTGTAGCTTCACTAATACTAATATTCACTTCTTTTAATGTTACTACAAAAAAGAGCTTGTTTGATTTTTACATAAATCATGATTTCTTCATTATAAAACTAAAATTTAAAAATAAAATCCTACAAAATAAATTCCCTAAACTTAGTTGGTAAATTTGGTTGAAAAGGAGTTACTGTCAAGTTTTTTGCCGGTATTATCTCGTTGGACCCAAAATCT